CATCACATGATGATGCTCATCCCCATGCTTGACTGGTTTGAAGCTGAGCCTCAGAGTTCTGCTTCTGTCATAGAATAGGCTATTGGCTGTTTGTCCTGGTTTGATCTGTTGCTGTGATAAAAGGCTGACCAAATACAACATGAGGAAGGAGTTTGTTACACTTCCAGGTCACCGTTCATCATTGAAAAATCAGGCCAGGAACTCAAACAGGAAGCATGGGAGAAGGCTACTTGCTGGCTTGCTCTCTGACTTGCTCACAGGCTTATGCTTACCTAGCGTTCTTATCCATCTTAGGACCAGCTACCTGCTTAAGGAATAGTGCTTGCCTAGAGCAGGCTGGACCCTTCTGCATCGGTCAGCAATCAAGCCAATATAGACGTATCCGCACAAAACCAATCTGATCTAAGCAGTTTCTGAACTGAGTCACCTCTCAGATGACTGTGTCAAGTTGACAGTTAAGGCTAACCAGGATGCTGGAGAGTTACTGGATCTGGATAAGACAGCGGGACAAGAAATGAGAGGAATAATATTCCTTCTGGCCTACTTGCTGGGACCAATCGTTAAGTAGTTGTGTGAGTTTATTTTTGGAAAGATGCTCTGGTTAATTACAATAAATCGTGGAATACGGGACTGGGGTTATTTGACATCATATAAAAAACATCTGCCAGATATATAGTTTATCGTCACAATAACCCAAAGACTGATCTCAATGAAAAAAAGATGACCTATGCCAGGATTAGCAACTCAACTTTTACTCAAATGCCAAAGTGAAGACTTCAAATACACATGCTGATGTTTATTGACACTTTTTAAAGGTTGGTTTAACTTTCAAGATTCAAATCCTTGCTCTTTGATTTCTATAGTGACAGATATGCCCCTCCCCAATCAGGGGACAGCTAAGATAAACGCATATAAGTATATTTGGAAAAAATACATTTTGGGTAGTTTCTTCGTCCTTTGTGGGTGTTCAAACACCTCAGGTGTCTTCCAGATTATCCTTAGAAATATTAAAACTTGTTCTGATACTTATGGGAGCCTATTGTGACTGAAAGGAAGGACTGCTTGCCTTGAGGTTAGCACATCTCCCTTGCTAAAACAAGTGTTATTTTCATAGACTGCATTGGTTTGGCGAAGGGTAGACTATTACATAATGACACCTTCACTAAGTCCTAAGCCACAAGTCAACAAGATGCTAGGGGACTGACTCTGGCCGTTGTAAAAATAACTTACCATTCTGTGCCCATGAACAGCCCCAGGGGCTAGGAAGACTCATGGGATAGGTGTCCCAGAAAGCCAATCTGACTTACAGGAATAATGACTGACACCGGTTGTCAACTTTCAGGATTTAGAATCACATGGGATATGAGCCCCTAGGTATACTGTGTGGACTTGTCTAGATGAGGTTAATCGAGGTGGGACTATCCACTGTGAGAATGGGCATCACCTGTCCCTGGGATGGGATCCTAAACTATATATATATGAAAGGGACATCCTAAGGGTATGTTCATCCCTCTCTGCTTCTGTCCACAGATGAAACATGACTAGATGCCTTACACTCTTGCCACCAAGGCATCTCTGCTGTGATGGACTGTGAACCTGGAACTGTGTGCTAAAGTAAACCGTTCCTTTCTTAAGTTGTTTCTGTCAGAATATTTTATCACAGCAATGGAAAAAGTAACTACCTTACTAGGTTTAAAAAAATAAGGGACATTTCCCACACACTGGCTTCTGAATACAAATCACACCATAGATAGATCATTTGTTCCATGATGGCTACCTCTGTGACTGCTCCTGATGCCACTCACTCCAGGACTCTTACACAGAAGTTAAACATCTGACTTGATTTATGGTAAAAGCCTGTTGGGACTATTGGACAGAAATCAGGTTAAGTTAGGAAAGCAATCCTATGGAATGAGCTACAATAGACTGTTTGCTACTGACATATAACCATAAAGAATGTAAAAGAATGCTTTTTTAACTTGACAGGCAAAGCTTAGTTTGTTGAAGAAAAAGCTAAAGCAGTTGATGAAACTGTCTCTGACATCAAGAGTAGAGGGGACCCTTCCCGTTGACCTGCTGTCTTGTGCCTCCTGGCTAAGCCTTCCTGGCCTCAGAGCAGCTTTCCTGCTTTCCCATTGTCCCCGCTCCTCTGCATATCTGTCTGCTGTTGTCAATGTGCTCTGCCTTACACAGCTTCCCTTGCTGATCAGATGCTGAACTAACTACTGTATGCCCGGCTGCAGATGCCAGTTTTCATGTGAAGCCAATATGAGTTATTATTAACAGTAGGAAAAGGACAGGAGTCAGATATGGGTACTTTATATTCTAGTGTGAGAACGCATTTGCACTTCATATCATGCATTGAAAGCAGCCCAGTCATGCACACTGGCTAATGCTTTGTTTGTTCTGAGTTAACCTTTAATGTAGATACAGCCTGGATGGTGTGACTCAGGAAAAATGCAGGACTTGGAAGCCTTAGGTATATATAAGCTTCTCACTGCACAGAGAGCTGATAATGAGGAAAAGGTGCAGGGAGAGATAAGAGAAGTACTAACACCATGAATCTCGTGGACAAGGCTGGCTTCCCAACCTGAAGCTCAAGACAAAACTTTGAAATGATTAATAGCCTCTGTCCTCGTTCCCTAGACAATACACTAGCAGAAGCCGGCCTGAGGCAGATTCCCTGTGGCTTCCGATATTGCTGACTCTCTACAAAAAAAATGAACTTTCAAGACTCAAATCCTTGCTCTTGATTCCTGTAGTGACAGATACACAGTCGCTGGTGTTCTGGTTAGATGTTCTCTAGCCATTCACTGCCCACATCTGTGTTTGACCAAACATCCTGGGTAAAACTTTTCCAAATGTGTTAACTTAGCCAACCACAAGATTCCACCATCCCCAAAGGTAAGGAAGTTATCAGATAACATGTGAAACCCTAGCTGAGATTCCCTCACTTGTCTGTAACCTGCCCATCTATGGTTCCCACCGATATAGTTGGAAAACACCTTAGTTTACAACTTTGTTTTGTTCCTTAAGTATGACAACGTCAAAATTGTCAATATTGGAGCATTTTAGTTGGGGCAATCTGAATCTGTGTTCTTAAGCCACGGTAACTCATATTTGGGTCAAAAATAAACCATTTTTAAAATTTCTTTTGAAAGAGAGGTGTGTTTGGTGTCAACAATCCCAAAAGCTTAAAGTGGAGAGTTTTAAAAAGAAGGGAATGATCAATGAACTGAGCCTGGAGTAGTAGAAGAAAATAGAAATGAAAAGTGTTGTTTGGATTGAGCAATAACACCGGCCACTGGCAATACTGCTAAGCGTGCTTTAAGGAGAATCATGAGGGAGGGATCCCGAGTGGAGTGAGCTGATATTTAAGCAGGAATAGAGAGAGCAAAGGGCAAGTGTATAAGTGTGTCTTTAAAAAATTTACAGAGCACAGCACAGATGTAAGGCAATATGGGGCCAAGTGTAGACAGAAGCTTTTGTCAAGGAGGCTGATGACAATGTAATCACCTGGTTGACTATGACAGAAAAACAGAAACAACAGATAAAGCTCATCTCCTTGGAACATCTATAAAATGTGGGGTCTCCAACCATAGAGTCCTAAAATTTCTAATCCTGTAACTATGTTTCTATTAAAGAAACAATCCATAATTGACTTTTATTTTTAAAAAGATCAATGAAAGTCTTAGGGTTGAGTTAAAAGGAAAGTTGGCATTTCCTTCTAGATGAAGAAACTAATTCTGTGGTGGAAGTATTTCCTCTAGGTGTGACATGACCATTGGCCATCATGACTCACAAAGTGCTGTGGTGACACATGGGAAATCTTGACCTCTGTGTATAAGGAAATAAGGACAATACAGTGAGAGGTGGGTCTATGGCAGAAAGCTATTAACATGCCTTCCTAGGAGAGGGCAGGGCCACTGGGCTTTCTGATGACATTCCAGTCACCATCCTCACTCCTCCTCCCAACCCTGTCCAAAGATGCACAGGGTCTGGGGAAATGGGATACCAGCAAATACAGAAGGTAGGAGGAAGACTGACTGAAGGATAGACACTTCAGTAGTATAGCTGCTGAGGGAGGGACTTCCTGGGAGTATCCCAGCAATAGTTACCATGCTCCTATAAGTAACCCCTCACCCATATACATCTGTGGCAATAATCTGAATGAATTTTTGATTCATAAAGCTGGACTTGGATGGAATCTTTTTTTTTTTTTTTGAGACAAGGTTTCTCTGTGTAGCCCTGGCTGTCCTGGAACTCACTCTGTAGACCAGGCTGGCCTCAAATTCAGAAATCCAACTGCCTCTGCCTCCCAAGTGCTGGGATTAAAGGCGTGCACCACCACTGTCTGGCTGGAATCTTTTTTTTTCTTCTTGATCTGTTGGTGCCCTATCTAGAGAGGTGAATTGCTGTTCCTTCATGTCTCTCCAGGAAAGAAATGAAAAACCATATCAACACAAAAATATATTCATAAAGATGTATTTGTGAGCTGGGCAGTGGTGGTGTATGCCTTTAATCACAGCACTTGGGAGGCAGAGGCAGGCGGATTTCTGAGTTCAAGGCCAGCCTGGTCTACAGAGTTCCAGAATAGTCAGGGCTAGAGAGAAACCCTGTCTCGAAAAAAACAAAAACAAACAAACAACAACAAAAACAAAAACAAAAAACAAATAAAAACGTATTTGTGAACCAGGTGTGACAGTGTATGCTTGGAGTCTCAGTTACCTGAGAAGATGAGCCAGAGGGATCTCTTGAAGCTGGAGTTCAAGTTTAGTCTGGGCAATAAAATAAGATTACATCTAAATATAGTGTGTGTGTGTGTTGGGGATGTATACAGTGAATTATAAAAAAATTATTTGTTATGCAAATTATTTCAACAGAAATAAAAAAATTGTTAAGATACCAAAAGAAAGAGAAGGTGATTAATTAATAAATCACAACTTAATAGCATTCATAAATAAATAAAGGAGAAGTAATTATATTACACAGAGCATTACCTATTAATTTACTTTCTTCATAGTTTGTAATTGTTATAAGAGTAGGTGGTCTTAAATCTGACTCTTCAAAATCACTTCTGGGTTTAGGCTTATATTTGAAAGATACAGGCCTGGAAGAAATGAAAGTTATTCTAAATCAAAATAATCAGAAAATTTACAAAACAGATTCAAAATACAAATATATACACATCCATTTTGCAGATTGAAGGCAAAAGGCTGAGACTGACTAGAGAAGGAACCTGAAGTGTTGCTGATACTCAGCAGGGTGGTGCTGCATATGAGATGCCAGTATTCACAAGCTGACCAGAACACATATCAGAACTTGGTTCCATGAGATATTTGGAACAGATATGAATGGAAAGTGGTGATATGTGCACTCAGGGACAGTTCATCTATCAGACAAGATGACAGCATCTATGTGGTACATGGAGAACTTCTCTGTCATTCTATTCTGTCCCAGCATGAGCAAAGATAGTTTAAGGAGGGAAACTTGTACCAGACTCCTTGAAGTGAAGGACTCCAAGAAATTGAAATTTCTCAAAAAGTCCCACGCTGAGCAAAGGAGAGGGCTGAAGCCCAGTGCCAGCTAGAGGAGGCACTGGTTTCTGAGAAAGAGACTTCACCCAGTGCTGGCAGATTGTCAGTCCACCTTTGGGGCTCTCTGGAGCTGAGGCAGTAAGGATGGGCATGATCACACCTTGACCACAGTTGCTTAGCAATGTATACCTCTTGCCCTCTACTTAAAACCCCATACCAGGATCCTGGAAGTGTGTGTGTGTGTGTGTGTGTGTGTGTGTGTGTGTGTGTGTTTCTGTCTGCCTCTCTTTCTCTCTCTGTCTCTGTGTGTATGTATGTCTCTGTCTCTGTGTATGTATGTATGTCTCTGTTTCTGTCTGTCTCTGTCTCTCTCTGTATGTCTATCTATCTGTGTGTATGTCTGTCTATCTGTCTCTGTCTCTCTGTGTGTGTGTATGTATGTTTCTGTCTGTCTCTGTCTCTCTGTCTTTGTCTCTCTGTCTCTGTCTCTCTTCTTTGTCTCTCTGTCTCTCTGGCTTTCTCTGTGTCTCTGCCTCTCTCTGTCTCTCTCTGTCTCTCTCTGTCTCTCTCTCTCTTTGTGTGTGTGTGTCTGTGTGTGTGTGTTGGGAAGGATTGTCCCGGACCTATTTATTTGTTTTCCTACTTAGTGTGGCCACAGTGAATAACTCCATTTTCTCCACCTTTCCTGTAATTTCGTTGTATGATGTATTATGGATGAGTGGCTGAGCCCAGCTTGTTAGGATTCCTGGGACTGAGTTCTGACCCTGACAACCCTGGTAACAATATGGTGGTTCATTTAGGTGCCAGCTTGACTGGATACAGGATTACCTAAAGAACTGACAAATAATTCTTTCTGGGTGGGTCTGTGAGAGTGAGTGTTTCTAGACCAGGTAGGTACAAGAGTTACTGGACTGAAGGGGATTTGTTTGCAGATGGGTGAATACCATCCAATCATCTGGGAGTTTAAATAGAACAAAACTCAACTTCTGCTCTTCCCTGAAGAACAAACTTAACCTGTCTGTTCTTGGATACCAGGATTCTAGATTCTTTGACCTTTGGTCTCCAAGACAAAAGTTCTCCCACTTTCCTCCAGGTTCTCAGGCCTTCAACCTCAGAGTAAAAATTGGACTACCAATCTCCCCGATGTGCTACTGTGGGGATGGTTTTTCTGAGAAATGCTGTTGGAAGCTTGCCTTTACAACTCAAACTCTCACCCAACCGGTAACCAAGTTAATGTGTGATTTGAGATCATTTATAACAATGTAACTCATTCTGTTACAAACTCAACCTGTGCAAAATTGATCAACCATAAAAGCAAAACCAAAAGCATTGCAACTGATCTTGCTGTAGTTTGGGCTCCCCCAGAGCATCATGAGCCCTGTTTGTTCCTCTTTCATCATTATTAAGGGTTTGACTCAGAACAAGGTATGTGTGTAAGATGAGGTGACTAGACCCAAGACCATTTACTGAAGCAACTGAGTATTGAAAGCAATGTCAACCTCCCCCAAACGTTGAAAACAACATGTGGCTATAGACTGGTAATACTTGAAAGTATTTGCTTCTGTCTTTGTGTTTTCTTCTGAGTCAATGACACCAAGGGTCCTGGTCTTTTACGTGATACCATGACACCATACCAGCTTCCCAAGGGTTCCAGCCTTCAGAGGGCCTATCTGGGCCTCTCCAGTCTCAATAATTCCACGAACCAATTCTAATTAGACCCCTCTTAACTTTCTCTTTTACCCACCGTGTATCTCACAATTTCGGAGATGTGGCCCACTTAGAGTGGAGTTAAGATCTACTTATTTAGTATTGATTTTGTGTTAGTTTTCTATTACTGGGGAAAAAAAAGAGATAAAAAAGGAAAGTATTATTTTGGCTCATAGCATTGGAAGTTTCAGTCCATGACTTGATGACAGAATTACTTTTGGCCCTATAGCAAAGCCAATCATCATGGTAGGATTATGTGTCAGAATAAAACTGCTCACATCATGATCCCAAAGTCCAGCACTTCTGAGGCTAACTCAGGAGGATTACAGTGAGTTTGATTACAGCCTTGCTACATCAAGTTCCAGAACAGCCTGGGCTACAGTGAGAATCAAAGGCAGGGGTGGGAGATTCTTTCTCAGGCAGGTCTCTCAGTGACCCAAGGCCCTTTCCAAAGGCCCTTCTTTCAAAGGGTTCTACCACCTTCTAATACTTCTCTGGAAACCAAGATTAACTTTGCCTCTGGCTGCAAACTTTTAGTCCAGCTGACTTGGGAGTATAAGGTGGAGACAAAGTTAATCTAAGTCAGAAAGACTTGAAGGACACTTATTTTGAAGATTCAGACCAAATAAATGATTTTACCTCAAACTCTTGGTGCCTGTCTCTGCCTTCCAAATGGTCAGATTATAGGTACCTGCCTCTATACCAGGTCATAAACTCCCTTTTCTTAACTCACAATTCCATAATGGACACTTTTTGATGTTTTGTTACATCTCAGATAACGAAAGTCTGAGAAAGTGATATTTGTATCACAATCAGAATGCAGACAAGGAAAACAGAACAATGGTTCAAAGAGTGTGTAACTTTAGATTTGGACCTGCTTGTCCACCTGACTTCTACCTGCCTTTGCAAGACTAATACACAGGACTCCAAAACAACCCCAATACACCCCAGCTTTTCTCACTGTAACCCCCACTATCCCTAACCTTGTTCTCATGTAAGTACAAAGTGCCACAGTTACACTGTACCTAGGCGCCAAGCTCAAGGGCTCAGTCATCCTACTAGACATGATTTCGATAAAAAACACAAGCTCCTGGTTCTGAGAGATAGCTCAGTGGTTAAGAGTATATGCTGTTTTCCCAAAGGACTCTGGTTCAGTACCCCACCCCCACCCCGCATCCCCAGCAGGTGGCTCACCATTGTCTGTAATTCCAGCTTTGGGGAATCTCATGCCCTCTTTTGGCCTCTGTGAGTATCTGTACTCATATGGACACAAAACTCTCCACAGAAATGTGTGTGTAGTCAAAAATACAATGAAAAGTTTTAAATAAGCACTGAAGCAAAGTGCTGGACCTAGTGCACCTTCTGCCTCTTGCCTGTGTGACCTTGGACATATTACTGAACATCATCAGGACACAGTGTTTCCATGTTTCATACATTGGTTTCTTTCACTGAGTAAATAAATGAAAAGGTTACACTCACCACACATCATCTAACTGACGCTGATGCTACTCGGCTGCACATTTGGACTCTCGTCGCATCTCTGATGCCAGTGAAAGACTCATTATGGCACATCCAGATACCCCATCCCCCAAATAGGCAGGCACCGTCTCTGAGCTATATCCCCAGTTCAAAGTCTCTTCCTAAGAAACTAACTGAGAAAGATTTTAGGCAGCCTTTTTTAAAAAGTAAAATTCTAAAATTTTATATAAAATTTAAATTTAACTTTAAACAGAGTAGTCAAATTGGTTTTAAGAAAAGTCTTTTTTCTTTTTTTCTTTTTTGGTTTTTAGAGGATTTTTCTGTGTAGCCTTTGCTATTCTGGAACTCACTCTGTACACTAGGCTGGTCTTGAACTCACAGAGATTGACCTGTCCTCTTCCTCCTAACTGAGATTTAAAGGTGTATGCTACCATCTTCTAACTCAGAAAAGTCTTGGAAAATATTGTAATATCTAACTCTAAATGGGAATATTCGCAATATTAATCTAGTATATTTTAATCCACAAATATGTCATAAGATACTTTTTTTTGAGACAGGGTCTCATTTTCTAGTTCTGGATGGATTGAGGCTTGCTATGTGTACCAAGTTGAACTCGAATTCACAGAGATCCCCTGCCTCTGCTGGGATTAAAGGCATGCACCATTATACTGGGCTAGTTTTAATTTCTTATATTATCAAATAACCTATAGTAAATACAATGCTTTACAACTTTCAGGTGAATTATAGTAGTTACTTTTTTGAGTCCTTAAGATCAAGTGGTTTATCTTCTATGATCTCTGTTACCGTCCTAGATGCAGATGGGGTAATTGTGTCTCCAAATTCCACATGAAGGTCAAACAGCAGGGGTGTAATCAATGGCTTTTTTCTTAGTCGTCGGTTGGTATTCTGCAGTGAAGTCAGAATGAAAGTAAGTGCTCTTTCTACAGGCAGATTCTGTATATTAAGGACAAAAATTAATCATTCTCTCTCTCTCTCTCTCTCTCTCTCTCTCTCTCTCTCTCACACACACACACACACACACACAGACAGACACAGACACACACACACACAGAGAGAATTTGTATATAAGGTAATAATGAAAACGAGTCCAGATTTAAAATTAAAGACCGAAAACATAATGAATTAAAATTTGAAAAGAATCTTGTAGTTTGTGTGACCTTTTCTCATTTATATATGACTCCTTCCTCATCTATTTAATAAAGACAATAAGCTGATAACCATTCAGAAGCCCTTCCAACTAATTTTTTTTTAATTTAGGGACAGACCTATGTAGTTGCTGGAGAGTCATTTCCTCTGAATTGAAACCTTCCTGTATGGGGGAGGGGGGAGGAGAGAAAATCATAAGACAGGAAGTTCATGAAACTTATAAGACTTACAAAGTTGAGAAAGTTAAAGATTTTCAAGGTCACTCCCCAAGTTATAGAAGTTGTAACCTACCAACTGATGGGGAAGAGGAGATTCTTTCAAGGAGCCGTATGCAAGTTGGGAAGGGGACCCCAGGGATGCAGCTTTTATGAATTGCCACCTGTGCTGAGGTAGATGGTTTGGTGATGTAGCTGCCTCTGAGTTGTTCATGGTACCACAACTAACCCCAATAAACTCATTGGTTCACTCATTTTTTTTTGATCTGTTGTTGATGCTGCATCTGAGATGAGCAGAGGTTTGCTTGTGCCTCCCTGAAAAGACTCATATCATTTGCATCTATACAAAGACCAACAGAATCGAATATGATCGGGGGAGGTGTGGGACGGTGGACAGTGAGAAGCCTGGTAAGGGTTCTTGAACTAGGGCTTGAAGACTGAAAGGGACGGTAGGATACCAACTCCAGGAACCTGTCACGTAGCCACAGCCTCCTACAGAGAGAATGTGGCCATCAGTCACATGGGGCAGCACCCACAAGTCCTTCCTCATGTTGATGAGGCATCTCAGGCCAAGCCAATAGGAAGCTCTTGCTGTCAGACCCAACTCACCCCATAACTGTATATAAGATCCTTCCTATCCGGAAGGAATAAAGGTGTGTGAGAATTAAGTCTGTCATCTGAGAGCATCTGTCACAAGAGCTGAAACACTGCCTGGAAAGAGAATGCTCTTCCGAAGCTTTTGCCACCAGAAGCTCCCCTGCACTCCACTCACTTCCTAGCCAGCTCTTCCCTGACTCAGCTTGGCTTGGTTTGGCTAGCTTCAGTTCATCCAGTGCAGCGTCTCAGAGCAACAGCAGATGTCCGAGCATTGGCACCAGAGCAGTGGCAGCGGCGGTGGAGGCACCCCTTCCACCTCTGCTCGTGCCCTTTCCCTCTCATCAGGACAGGCCAGATCTCCGTGGAGAGCCTCCGGGTTCACAGACTAATAGGGAGGTGCAGCTATGTGCCCCTTGTGATGGGTAATAAATAAGACAGGCTACTGAGATTGATCCATCTGACATGGAGCATGCTTTGCATACAATCCTGACATGGCTTTCCTTCCTAATGTAGTGTGAGATATTGTGTTTCCTTTCTCTCCTGCTATAGGTGAGGCAAGCAAGACTGAGCCACCTGAGAGTTCAGCATCCTTTTAAAATATCCCGGAGTGGTCTCCTGCCTCTAAGTGGAATGTAGTAGAATTCCTCCTGGATGGCTGAAATCTATGACATGAGAAAGGAGATGTTCTCCAACTGGCTAATGAACTACATAATCTATCACATTCCCTGGAAATGGCATGGATATGATGGTAGTAAGCAGGCTAAGGCATCAATTGCATGGTCTTTGCTTTAGGTGATAACACATGTAACTGAGGTTCATCTGTCTGCCCAGAAAGAACTTACCTATATAAGGAATTTTCATGAGAAAAAGACATGCAGATACAAACTTCCACATTAGCCTCTGATTTGGAAGAAAGAATGAAGTAAAAGCATGAGACATAGATGGTGACGTTGTATTTTTTACAGTGGGGAGTATTCTCAGGGAGCACTGTAGGAACTGGATCTGTTAAAGAGCCCTTCTTGGGAACCAAACATTTAGAACTTAGGTGGAGAGTTTAGAGAGTGAGAAGAAAGTGATGTGAAAGTGGCAGAAGAGAAGCCCTCAGGTCTGAGTGTTAACACAGATGAAGGAAGCTCCACAGTTCAGCATGCAGATAGGACCCTGATAAGCACAGTGTAGGAAACCACCACAACAGGGGATACACAGTATCTGGACATCATCAACTGGGAGAGACTTCTGGGTATGGAGAAGAGCCTCTCACTGATGAGACTGAGTGTTGGTATTGATTTCAGTACCAGCAGAGTGCTGAGTACTGTCGGAGGTTTTGGTATTGTTATTTTTGTAAAGCATCACCAGTCTCAGTGTTTTGTAAACATTTTTCTCCTTTACCTTCTAATTGGTTTAATAAAGAGCTGATGGCCCATGGCAGAGCAGGAGAGGGGAAGTGGGACATCTAGGCAGAGATAGGAACTCTGGGAAAGAATAACAAGTGGCATTCAGCAGCTGGAGACAGGTTGGAAGGATCAAGCATCTGGGCTGATTGTGTGTGAGAGAGGGGTAATGAGTCACGTGGCAAAGGTGGATTAATATAAATGGGTTAATTAAGTGATACAAGCTAATTGGGTAAACTTTATGTCAGGAGGCATCAAGGAGAAGCAAAAAAAATCCAAAAGAATCTAGCAGGTGATCTTGAGATGGTTCTGCCATGGACTGTTAAAGTTATTGATAGATTTGCTTTTCTGGGGAAAGCTGATAAGATTACATTTTAGGAAAGATTGCTGCTATTAATATGCTTTTCCTGTTATAATTATAATAATCATTTGGTATTAGCCCATCCTTTTGAGCAGATCTCTGCAGAACAAGGAAAATGTACTGTTCTGTAGTGATGCTATATAGCTAAATAGATGATTTCTTACTTCTTAATGATGCTACTATAAGAATTCCTAAAATTATATTAGTAACTATTAAGCTCTTTTATAATAGGACTGCTATTGAATCTTTTCTGATGTCAAAACTGCAATGAAAACTCTGCCAGTCAGTCTTTCAAGTATCGTGAATTAATTGCTTCTGAGAAAACAAGCAGGCATCTACAACTTAGAGCACATTCAAAGAGGTTGTAAAACAATTAACCAAAGGCCATAAAAAAGGGAACTAAGGATTTAGTATAGGTTCAAGGACAGAAGATAAAATACTGACTGGGTTTATCTATATGAAACTTCACTAATACCTTAGTCACAAAAATTACGGTTTTTAACTTTCAGTGAACCTGTTGAGCTAGTGACAGATAATGAATGTTTAGCTAGATAACTACTCTTAATGGATATGGATGTAACATTCTCTGTTGTAAACTTTTTATTCAATTTATGATTTGAATTTTTATAGTGAATGTTTTATAGTGAACTTTTGTTTAAAAAAAGGATACTTGGATAAACCATGTGATCTATTCTCCTAGAAAAGGAACAAAAGACTAAGAAAGATTACATTGACATATATAGCAATTGGAAATAAAAGCATTGGGAGTAAGGAATTCAGAAAATTCATTGTTACATCAGAGATGGAGGAAAGAGCAAGATTAGGAGAGCAGATCAGCGAGAACTTTCTAAAGTAGAACTAAAGAAGAACTTTCTAGAACTTTCTTAGAGGTCTTTCATAGAAAACTTTTTAGAGAGAACTTAGAAAGAAAGATTAAAATCACTTTTCAAAGTGTTCCTCTTTTCTCCCTGCGACTTCAACTAGCAAGCTAGGAGTTAGAGCCAGGGCAGTTTCTACTTTGCTTAATCCCCTGCTGAGATGCTAAAAGTCAGACTTCAGTTTCTTGGTCTTAGAGGAACTCAGGCAGGTCAGCTACAGCAGTAAAGGGACTTAGACTTAACACAGGCCAACATTTTATTATTAAACAGCAAACCTAAATATCTAGCAAGACCAAGTCTTGCCTCAGCCGATGCTCTTCCCCCTTAGCTACCTCAAGAGAGAATCAAGAAGAAAAAAGTACCACTGGAGTTGGCCCCAGCAGCTTTAATAAATAAAAAGTCTATTTGTCATTATTTGGGAGCTGGCAGGTCAGAGTCAGTCTGGCAATAACTGAGTGCGGTAGAAGCAGAGAAACTGAGTAAAAGAACTACTCAATCGTCCTTCAGACAAAGGTTGAAGAATCTGAGGAAATCAGAGGGATACAGTTCCTGATAGACTGACATCTATAAGCCATTTATTACCAGCATGGGTGCCTGTATATCCAGGACAGGAAGACAGAGGAGGACAGATAGGCGATTGAAGGAAATGTGGATCTGAGAGCCAGTGTCTGATGCCTATTCCACAAAGTTAGAAAGGAATAGGCATCAAAAACCGGAATGGGTCTTCAGTGGCCTTGCTGAGCTCTATGGAGGGGTGTGATTTTTATGAGGAAGAGGAGCTCTGGCAGATATGAAGGCCTTACACTGGCAGGTGAGTTGGAATCAGAAGGTGATTGTAACTGTCCAAGTTACTTGAAAGCAAAGGTGGCAAGATTCCTGTCAAATCGGAGTTCCTGGTGGGAGATGGGAGGATTGCCAGAAATCTAAATAGCACTTATGAGTCTTTGGAAGATTTAAAGGCTGGATGGCAGTTCACCAATGTGAAAGGAGTTAAATGGAGGAACCAGGTATTCCCCCTTCAAGTCCTTAGTGTGGAGGAAAGAAATATCCTTTGTTAGAGTACTCAAGGTTACTGTCAAATAGTGATTGTAGACTCCATAGTGAACTGTAGATTTGTTGGTTCCTGACTAATCTGCAAAACACTTGTGTTTCAATGGATACTGAATTTGAGTGTACTTTAATTTATGAGATTCTCAAAGTACCAAGGGCAATGGCCAGGAATGGATGGATATGGGGATAGAACAGTATACATAAAATGATGTTTGTCCTAGGAGTCGACAGTTATTTTCCATAGAGCAGATGATGTTTGTATTTCTTCACTGCAAGAAAGTACATGAGGGTGGAGAAAGTTCACCCAGTCTGGAGCTCTTTAACCAGTTAGGTATCACTGATGGAGAGGTGAGGCCTCAGTTCCTACTTGGAGCTCGTTATGTTCACCCAGGGAGTCAGCTCAAGTGTTAAGAGTCCCAGGTCAATGCATTAGTGCTTTTCACCCTGTACCCTGAAAATCAGTATGATCTGGCTTCACTGACCCATTGTGTGTGGGAGATGTATAGTGTACCCAGAGAGGTGCAGTACCCCAGGATGAAGAGGCTAGATTTCACATGGAAGATGGCAGTGGGTTAGGGAAAGCCAGCGTTTCTACCACACTGATGTATTCACCATTCCCTTTTTGATAAAATACTTCAAATGATGGAATCTTTACTCACCATATTAGACCTTGCTAACTTAAAAAAAAAAACTTCTTAGTTTTTAAATCCCAAGACTAGTATGCACTTGCTTGGAATGAATGTTAAAATGCTTTTTTAAATTATATAATGCTAATTATTTAGCATTTTACAAATGTATAAACACCTTGTAGAAGAATAGTAGATATACCAATTAGAGATTTGAAAGAAGACATTGTGAGTTGAAACGTCACTTCCAGGATCAATAAGGCTATTAGGGGATGACTCCAGTGTAAGTGGTGGGCTGCCTCCCTGTGAGTTTTGCCCATGGGGGTCTCTGAGAACACTAATACTGTAAAGCTATGTTGCCAGTACTGCTGATTGTTTGTCTGAGTTGAAGTAGGGTAGAACACTGCTGCTGGAGATGTCATGTACTTTGGTTGCAGAACATGGAGAAACCATGCTGAGACTAAGGTGTCCTTAGGTGTCCTTCCTGCTAGATGGCTGTTGGAGTCACAGGTGGTTGTTAGCCTATAGTATATACTTTAAAAAGAATTTCCAGGGAATATCAATTAACTTGCTCCTATGTGCTAAAACTCTAGTGTTTGGGAACTATTATGTTTGTTATTCTTTAGTCTTAAATTCTGAGTCTTACCTATTTTAGTTTACTTTGTTTCTAAATATTTGTTTTTATATATTTAGTTTACTTTGTTTCTATATATTACTTGTAATATTTGTAATTTAGTACCAAATGGTACTTTTCCTTTTTTAAGGTTTTTTTTTGAGAATTTTATACATTATATTTTGATTATATTCTTTCCCGTTCTCCAACTCCTCTCAGATCTGACCACAAACATCATGTCCTTTCTCTCTTTAAAAAACAAAAACAAAAATAAACAAATAACAAAACAAAAAGAAACAAAAAGCACACACAAAACCCATTGAATTCAGTTTGTGTTGAGCAACTACTCCTGAGCATGTGGCCTGCCTTGGAGTATGGCTGTTATACCCAGTGTCACTCCATGAAGAAAACTGATCTTCCTCTTCCAGCAGCAATTGCTACGAGCTTACTGGTTAGGACTGGGACTTGGTACTTTTCATATAGCTCCTAAAGTAACTTAGTATATACTTAGCATATTTTTAACAACTATGGATAGCCATATTTACTGTTTGTGGGAAGTAGTACTTTTTAAAGCAATTTAGATGCAAATGTGACGTATGGCAGCTACCTTGAATGATCTTTTATAGTTAATTCTTATTATTGCTGTTTTGTTGTTGTTTGTTTTGTGGTACTGGGGCCTCCAGTATACTAGGCCAGCTCTCTACCACTGAGTTACATCCTTGATTAATGAATCTTTTTGTTATCTACTTAGATATCTGGCATTCAACTGATAAGTATTGCTTATTACATGTTCATTTATATCTTCATCTTAATGCACCATTTATTACAAAATAAAAATTTTATCTGAAATGTTAATTTTTTATGAGAACTTTATCTTTAGCTTCTACCTTGCATACCTTTTCCCTGATGTTTGCAAGTATCCTTGCTTTCTCCTCCAGGGCATCAAACTTTTCCAGGATTTTTTCTGTCATCCTTTGTCAGTAAATTCCTGTTTGAAAGGGAGAGAAAAGAAATATCTAATTCAATTCAGATAAAAACACATGATGATTATTTAGGCGTAAGGTGAGAGTCCCTTTCTATTACTGCTCCAGGAACATTTCAGAGCTGTGCTGGTCATGAAATCAGTCACAGAATTATAAATGTACTCAATTGGTTTTTAGTAGGAAAAACAAAAACAAAAACAAAACCCAGAACTTCAAGTTTGTTACATGAGAGCCAGATGTGACTCCCACTGGAAGTAAGGTTGCGTGATGGAACATTTGTTCTCTGTCATGATATAATCTTAATGAAAGGAATTCAAAGATCTCCCCTTCATACAATACAGTTAACTGAATTTAAATTGGTTCATTGGTGCACAGCACTCAAGAGGCACCTAGAAGCAGTTAATCTGAAAGTCCTCATTGGAGGTCAAATGATGCCTATGAACTGGATGGACATCAAGATCTGGTCTAATTCATCTCCATTTTCAGATGAGTAAACTGAAGGTCACACAGGACTTTATCAGTTCAGTGCAAATGCTTATCAGTAGGACAGAGGCAAGAACACAGGAGTACTGGAGGCTGGAGGGATGGACCAGTAGTTAAAGCACAAGTGTGAGGACCTGAGTTCAGATCCCAAGATCCCAGGTTAATGCTGGATGGGTGTGGCTAACCATCTGTAACTCTAAACCAGGAAGGGGAAAATAGGTAATCCTCAGAGCAAGGTGGCCAATGAGAGTAGCCATGTTGATGTAGGTGGACTCTGATCATCACCAGGTCACATAGTGAACACTAGAGCTGAAGCTTTTTGAGGGCAGCTAAGAGGCTGGAAAGACATTTTTCATCTTGTTGGGATAAGATCTAAAAATGTTGAACATGTGGCTGGTGACCTAAGAGTTTGCACACACTGGTGTGTGTGTGTGTGTTATATATGTGTGATATATGCACAATATGTGCATGAGTGTCAAAGGAGAATGTTAAATGTCCTGCTGTGTCATGCCCTTGAGGCAGAAACTCTCATTGCACCAAAAGCTAGAGAGTAAGCCCTGGTAACACCCTTGTCTCTCCCTATACCCCAGTGCTGGCATTACAGTGTGAGTACATCCATGCCTGACTTTTTATGTGCTGGAGATTTGAACTCAGGTTCTTATGCAAGAATGCAAGCATTCTTGTCATTGACTGAGGCCCCACACTTGATTTTTAAGTGTTGACTGGGCCTCATGTGGTTCTGTTTTACCCAAGAGTGGGTATTTAATGTAGGCAGTTAGATCATCTTGACTTCCTCTCCTACACTCACACCCCCCCATCTCTTCTCTTCACACCCTCTCTGTCTTTGGAAATTGCTGCTCTGCGTTAAGATACTTTCCATATATGAATTATTGATACTTCCAGTGTTTCTTCTCCATTTCCATCTCTAACTCTGTGTCATCCAATGGATCTCAGATGCCTTTCTGTTGCTGTGACAAAATATCCCAGACTGAATACTTTATGAAGAAGAGAGAGTTACCTATTTAGGTCACAGTTTTAGAGCTTGAAGTCTAAGGTTTAGATGTTCCATTTGTTCTTCTCCAGGTGAGACCTTGTGGCAAATGATATTCGAATGGTGACAGTAGGTATAAGAACTGTGATGTCAGACAGAAAGCCAGAGGGCAGGTGGAATCCAGTTTTATTCTTTTAGATCCACTCCATTGTGAGATGAACTTCCGAGAGATCTAAAAATTCCCTAGGCTGGAGAGATGGCTCTGAGGTTAAGAACACTGGCTGCTCTTCCAGAGGTCCTGAGTTCAATTTCTAGCAAAAACTTAGTGGCTCACAAATATCTATAATGAGATCTGGTGCCCCTCTTCTAGCCTGCAGGCATACATGCAGACAAAAGGCTGTATACATAATAAATAAATCTTAAAAAAACCAAAACAAATCAGCAAAAAACTCTCCCTCTGTGATGGCACTCCCCACCCTGCCTCAATGACTTCAGTATCCCTCATATCACTACACCAGGGACCAAGTTCTCAGTACATGAACCTTTAGAGAGGATGCTCTTAGAGAGGAGACTATGTCCAAAAAGTACCAATGTGACAACTTATGCTGAGAATATTGTGGACCATGAGGACAGACAGATAGCAGGCCTTCCCCAAATAAGCTCAGAGCTGGAGGCAGGATTGGGAGGTCTTATGGACCATGTGCCAATCCATAAAAGCTTTGGCTACTATAGGTAAAAGAGAAAGATTTGGATCTGGGTGTCATGTTGTACATGCTGATTGCTTTGTGGGTCTCCTGCAGAAAGACAGGGGAAGATTTTGGAGGAGACAGATAGTTTATCTAGACAAGAATTTCCCCCTAGAGCCAGAAACATTTTGTGTCTGAAAAACACGGAGGGGGTTTCATTTCCTGTTTCCATCGTAGAAGTGGAGAAGCAAAAATGTCTTCTAGTGGAGACAGACTATTCTCAGTGAGAACTAAGTTTAGCACATTGAAGAGAATAGGTTTCTCAAATAGGGAAGATAAAAATGATGCAAGAACATCAAGATCTGCTACTTACACTAAGGAGAAAAATGGGTTGCTTTGGAAAATTGGCTTCTCTTTTTTGTTTAGTTTAGTTTAGTTTAGTTTAGTTTAGTTTAGTTTAGTTTAGTTTAGTTTAGTTTAGTTTAGTTTAGTTTTTCGAGGGTTTCTCTGTATAGCCCTGGCTATCCTGGAACTCACTCTGTAGACCAGGCTGGCCTGGAACTCAGAAATCCACCTGCCTCTGCCTCCCAAGTGCTGGGATTAAAGGTGTGTGCCACCATTGCCTGGCTTTTTTTGTTTGCTTGTCTTTTTTTCTGTTTTGTTTTGTGGAAAAGTGGTTTCTCAACAGATGGGTTGCAACCCCTTTGGGGGACACAAACTAGATATCGGGCGTATCAGATATTCACATTACAATTCATAACAGGAGCAAAACTACAGTTATGAAGTTATGAAGCAACAGAAATAGTTTATTTTTGGGGGGAGGTCATCACAATGTGAGGAACTGTATTAAAGGGCAGCGACATTAGGATGGTTGAGAGCCACCGATTTAGAGTGAGGTGTCCCATGTCACCTACCTTTAACATCCTCCCATCTTCAGCATCACAATCAACATGGTAAGGTTCAAAATGCCTCCTCACTTCATACAAGTGCTGCTGTAGCAGGGAAAGATGCTCATGATGACCACACCTATTATTGCCTGTCTTACCTTTTCTTAATTTCAGTTTCTTTAAACTACAATATATGATTCAGGGTTCTAATTTGCTACACCCTTTTTGTTTCCAATCTACCATCATCTGGCTTCTATTTAAATCAGCCACTAGGTCACTGGGGTCTTATGAACTAGTGAAGATCTTTTTTCTTCTTAAATTATTTTATTTTTTATAAATTTATGAATATTAATTATGTATATTTTTTTAAAGAAATTCTTGCCCTCTCAGTTTCCATAGCATCAATCTTCCTACCTCCCTGGAAGATTCCTTACCAACATCTTCAGGCTTCTCTTCAAACATTAGTGCCTTCAGGGGCTACACCATGTTTCCCATTGTTGCACACCCTCCCAAGACAGCCCCTAAACCAACCGCTTCATCTTCTGTCACCTGTTTCCAACCAAATTCTCCCTTCTGGGTTCCAAACCTACACATGCAGCTCAGTTCATTATATCTCCCCCTAGTAGCACAAGTGTGAATTAAGAGGAAACTTCTCTATCATTCTTTTCTTACAACCAAGGCTGTCTTGTAACCTGTGCAATCAGATAAGCATCTCTCAGGCTTCTGGCTCACATACTGGGGTGTCACAGTGGTTTTCCTTCTCAGCTATGCTACAAAATGAGTTGAAAACTTGGATCCTGTCTGACCTCCAAAGTCAAAACTCAGAGGGTGAAGATTAGGAATGTTCTCACTCTCCTCATGAATTGAAATGTGTCAGGCAAGGTCTTGGCTGCCGAGTTTCCAGTCTAGGGAATCATCAGGGTGTGAGAGAAGTGCTGGTGTCAAGCATTCTCAATGCACAGCTGCATAGGTTATTGACTCATGGACTCTGGTTATGTATTATTAAATGTTCTTCTAATGCAGGTCCTTCCCAAACCTGGATTTGGTTCCCACTTTACTGGAGAAGCCCCTCAGCTTTCATGTAAATATGCACAATCACATTATCAGGTATAGGCTCTATCCTGCCTATCTTCTCAGCTCTTCCTTTTTTTTTAATCCATGTAGCCTCAATTTAGGAGTCTGTAACTTGCAGATTGGATTACTGTAATAATTTAAAATTTCCTTTATATATTTCATGAATTTGGTCTACTCTTCATAGACTTGAAATTTTTTCAAGAAAAATATGATTTGTCTTCCTGCTTCAAGTTTTAATTCCTATAAAAGCATTAAACAGCAAATTCCTTGGTATCTTACACAATAGTGTGGTCTGTGGACTCAACATGTGTGATTACAAGCACTCTACTCCCCAGCCACGAGGAACAACTGAGGCTTCTCATGTGCAGTCATATTTCTTTACTTGTTACTTCATCTTAATATTCACTGTTGATAGCTCCAGTCTTCCACTCCCTGGATTCACAAGTTTTCTTCAACAAGCAACAGCTCTCCTGGAAGTCCCTGTACAGCATACTTTGGATAGCAAATGTCTGTGTGCAGAAGAAAGCCTGGTGGCTATGCATTCTGCATTATGCTTTCCTTGAAGGCAAGAACCACATCTAATTCATCTTTGAGTTTCTAATACCCTCACAACTTGGTTACATGGTTAACTATAGAGAGAAAATGAACAGCTGTGGATGCTATGACTGTCTTTGGCCTCCAGCAAAGCCATTGCCTTTTTACAGTGTTCTCATGAGGTTCTTCAGAATCAAGGGTGCTTCTCACCATTCCTGCTGTTGCAGTCCTTTAATAGTTCCTCCTGTTGTGGTGATTCCCAGCCAGAAAATTATTTTATTGCTACCTCATAACTATAATTTTGCTACTGTTATGATTATAATGTAAGTATTG